ATGAAAATCAAAAAGTACGAATTCTAGTGAAGCGATATTAAGTTTTTGATTTGTAGAGTGAAATTCTTTGAATAAGGGAATGTTAGCTTTGAAATTTGCTTCTCTATTTCCTGTGCAAGTGATAATAGAAGTATTTGATTTAAAAATTGTATGTGGAAAGTATTTTTCTGCTATTATAGGTCTTAATAAAGAAGTATGACAACCGGTATCTACTAAAAACTTTATAGGTGGATTACTTATCTCGATATATGGTAAAGAGTTAGGTACAAAGTTATTTATTTCTATGGCTCGATTTGTGGAGGCCAAGTTTCTGGAAAATTTTGTTCGATTATTGATTCATTATGCATAATATGGTTTTCTATATGTTGTTCGTCATAGGTATAATTATCGTTATATTGGAAATTGTTTTCTAATTGATTGTCGTTTTGTGATTGTTCGTCATAGTCAAAATGGTCTTGTTCTTTAATGTGGTAATTATCATAATGATTAGGTTCGAAAATTTCAACATTAGTTAATTCTTCTGATATAAAATTAGGGGTCCTGTAGATTTAAAATGATTATTATTATTTCTAGAATTTATAACGTTAGTTCTTAATGATGGAATTCTTGATGATGTTGACATTGGTTCTGGGTCATTACTTGGCTTATGAGAATTTTTTGGAGAAAACACATTTACTGGTTTTCCAAATACTTGGGCATTAGTAAAATATTTTTGTTGAATCGGTCTTGATTCAATTTTTATTGGTTGACTTGGAAAAGAGGGTCTTTGATAATTACTAAATGAGGCTTGATTTTGGAATGTCGGTACATTTTGCGGATTATTGAATTGTCTTTGTTGATAATTAAATTGAGGTGAATACATATGATTATTTGAAAAGTGTTTAATTAGGATTAAATATAGGACGGTTAAAATTTGGTCTTTGATTATTGTTATTTGTAGGCCTATTTGTCGTTATATTTTGTCTTTGTGGTTGTCTGTCTATTTGTCTTAAATTAATTTGTTGCTCCATTAAAGAATGATTAACAACTAAGTTTGTAGCTTCTTCAATATTTTTTGGTTTATTTAACATTAGCAACGTTCTTAATTCTGCGTGACAGTTAGAAATTAAGACAGTTACTGCTGTAACTTCATTTTGATTTATTAAAATTAATTTAGTATTTGGTTCGATATCTGTATCTGAATTAATTTTTAAATTTAGTCTCATTTTTATCATTTTTAATCTTTCTAAAAAATCTGTAATATTTTCATTTCTGTTTCTACTTAAATAGATAAATTGTTGATGCAACACATGTCGGTCAACTTTGTCACCAAATTTTATTTTTAAGGCATTTTTTACTTCTGGCCATGTATTTAAATCAGGCCTGCAGAGCAAAAAATCACCGGCTTCTTCGATAATTTTAGAGCAGATAGAAGCAAATACGAATTCGCTAAGACTATTGTCTTGTGTTTTGCCATATCTGTCATAAAATTTATCAACAGAATTTAAAAATGAATCTAAATGTTCGCTTCGTCCAGCAAATGGACGAATTGTGTTTGCAATTTCTTTAGCTGCTTGAATAGTAGCCATATTATTATCAATTTCAATTTCAGTTATAGCTTCTAGCAAAGAATTTAATATAATAGGCATACAATAAGTAAAATAAAATGGTATATATAAAGTAGTAAATTCAGTAGATAAGAAAAATATTCAAATTTCACAAATAGTAAGTTTTAAAAGGAAAAAGAAATAAAGGATTTGAACTCAACACTTACTTGATCAAGAAGTCTTCAGAATTCAGCCTAGGTCTTCTTTCCAGATGAGTGGTTGAAACCAGCGACGAAAAGACACTGTACTGTAAGCCAATTCGCCTTCAGGAATCCTACTGACTGCGCCACTTAAGTTTTACGAGTTAAAAAATTACTTTTTGAAAAACAATTTTATTAACAAGGACTAAATACAAGGATAATGACTATACATAATCTTAAGCAAAAGTGATTTATGTTTACATTTACGTCTATTTATATGTTTCTATTAATCTAATGTACATAAAGAATGTTTATGATAGAAAGTACAATAATTACTATAATGACACTATTAACCATATTTTTAGATACATAACTCATGGCCCATCCATACAAATTATTTACATCTAAATATAACAAAAACTTTTTAGGTTTTGTTGGGTCATAGTTAAACATATATTTATTGTTAGCTTCTGAATATCTGTTACAACAAACAGAAATTCCACCTCGAATTGCTTTTTCTATAAACATTACCATGTCAACATCTTTTAAGATTTGTAATTTGCATTTTGTATACTTTTGTATACTTGTCGGTCAGATAGCTCAGCGGGCTGTGCGGCTGCCTCTCATTCGCTTCACTGTCGAATGGTTTAGTGGATATGGGATCGAGCCCAAGCTCGGTGTACAGAAAACAAAAAGTCTAACGCAGTAGTTTAAAATTCTAGATGAATCTGCGGCTTAGACTAGGATATGCTGGGATCTGATCGGCCTATGGTGGAGCAGTACGGCAAGAGATAAGGGCTTGCGGCTTGGTGATACTCCTCCATAGATCCCTACCGGAGAGGCGTAACGCCTAAAAAACCGGATATATATATTTTGTATACTTAAGCATAGCATCCCACGTGTATCCGGGCATAGTAAAATACCAGGCGGGGTCTAAACCATAGGTATTCAAAGCTGTTTTTCTAAAATTTTCCATAACATCTGCAAGTAGCAATATATCAGTTTTCATGTATAAATTACTATATTCTCCAAGCGTTTGTATATCAAACGATTGCCATACATTTTGTGCATGTGTATAATCTTCAGCACAAAGATCTAAATCATGCAACTTGCTATAAAATTTTTCAATTACAGGCAGTTGATTTTCATTTAATTTATTTATATCATCCAAATAGTCGTAAGGAAAAACACCTTTTTTAGTTAAAAGTTTAAATTTATTATTGTCCAAGTCTTTAAATTCATGATTTAAATTTTCAAAATTATCCAAAGATAATGTTGTCACAAGTTCATCAAGACTAGCACTCATAAATTTAAAAGAATCTATAAATCTAAATTTAATACTAGTTTTATCATCAAAAAGTGTAAACGATATATATTTATTTTTGTTTAAAGGAAGTACACTTACACGACCACGTTTTGTTATATCTCTTATAATAAAATTACTGTCGTAATTTGACAAATTATGATATATTACTGGCACTATGAATAATTTTTTGAAAGAAAGATTACATTCTTGGTGGGCAAAGTTCCTAAATTTTCCAGTAAAGTGGTCATGATCACGTACAATAATGTCGCTTGCCTTAAATATTTTTTCACAAATATGACATGTGGACATATTAATAGTGCTTGTTTGTTACACCATTGGCTCTATATTCAACATTTTACTCTCTACAAATTTTGCAATTTTTGAAAGTTCACTTGCAAACCACCCCATGCAATCTAAATTTTGATAGCTCTTGTAATAGGAAAGAGAATTATCGTAAGAACATTTTAGGTAATAACCTGCTGAGAACGCTTTATGTTCTTGATACTTTTTTGTTGTTTTAGATAATTTTGTATTACACGGTTCCAAAATACATTCAATGTCAGCATACACGATAAAAGGTGCTTTCTGTTTATATACATAATTTCTAAATTCCACAAAATCATATTTTGGAAATGATATCTTACATTCGTTAAGATTTTCACATAAAACAATATGATCCTTTAATTTATCCTCGCTTGAAAAATAATTTAGACAACGATCACAAAAATTTTTTTTTCCATGATGTTTACTGAGTTGGTTGGATAAAAGTGTAGAAAGATCTTTAATCCAGCAGTAGTATAACCTAATCTCAGTATTTTCATTATCTTCTACAACTGCCTCATAATCATTTAATTTAGGAAAATATTGATTTTGAATTAATAACAAATTAACATGACGATTTAGTTTCTTTTTTGTCAATCTAGCAGGCACTACAACGTAAAAGGATTTTTTTTCTGTTTCGTTTAACTCCAAAGCATAAACATTTACAGAAATATTATTTAATTTTTCAAATTTTGTAATTTGATTTATTTTTACAGGTGTTTCGATATCAGCTGTATTTAAAACAAGCCTATAAAATGGATATGAACTTGTTAATCTATAATCTCCTTTGGGAGGATACAAAGCACTGACTATAGCCCAGAAAAAACAAGCATGATCCATATTTTGAATGTTTACACATGCTTTTTTGTTGGCTATTTGCGCTGGTATTTTTATAAAACAAGAACCATTACCTATTTCATATTTGTTTATGGCTACTTCTAACATTAAAATTTTCTGTAAAGCCCAACCACTTCCTTCGTCGGAAAACTCTGTTACTTTATTTAATATATAATCTACAATATGTTCTTGAAACCATTCTGATAAATTAGTTCCTTGGTCTAGAACTATATTAGGAGTATTAAAATGTTTCTGGTCAATTATTTCCTGTTCATTTGACTGTCTTACAAATTCTCCCCAAAAAGTAGTTTTAACCTTTAAAACCAACATTTGTTTAAAAATATTTATAAGTTTCTCTTTTAACAAATTAAACGCATCAGATAAAAATTCTTTGATATCTTTATGTTTTAAATTAATAATAACACCTGTTTGAATTCTACTCTTAAAGCATGAATTTATGTTTTCCCAACAAATCCTTCTAGGTGATTTTAGTCCTTCTTTCCTATTCTTCAATTTTATTAAAGCTTTTATTCTTTTTATATAACCTATTTTAGACAAAATTTTTTTTTCACCCCCACAGAAAATTTAAATTTTTCCAAAACTTTATTACATGTTTTAATGTGTTGATTTATTAATTTTATTGATATTTTTTCAGTTTTATTAGCTTTAATCAATTTTATGGTTTTATCCACTTTAGATAAAGTACATTTACCAATTTTTATATTTCCTATCGTATTACTATTCATATTAAAAATGTAACTTACTCAGTTTAAAATTTCACAATTTCAAATGATACTGCTGGATGGGGCTTTACTTTCCAGGTTCAAAATATTCAACAAATGGTTTGTATTCTGTTGTTACCCTCTGCGGCAAAAATGTGACGTTGGCCTCTAATTCTAACAAAACAGCTTCCCCAAATCTGCTTAAGATAATCTTAGCAGATAAAATTTTATTTCGTTGTCCAGGTACAAGATCTTGTAATTTTATAATCGGTTTCTTGTATTTGTCTACAATAGACACAGAATTTAATAATTTAAGATCCATCTAAAATAAATAAACAATCATGTATAGAACGAAAAAACTATTAGACAAAAAGGTAGATTTAACTTAATATTGATCTCATTTAACAATGAGATCAATATTAAGATGAATGAAGAAAATATAGTCAGACATATAAAGGTTCAAAGGCTGACATAGCTTAGGCATGTACTATGAGGAGAAGAAGATATGTTAATGCTAAGAAAGAAAATATTTAAGTGAAAACATACAAATAAAATACCTAGAGCAAGATCAAAATGCAGATTGGAGGATTATGTTAGAGAAGATCTCAATAAAATTAAGATTTCTAACTAAAACAAAAATAGAGAATAGAAACGAATTAAGTATAATCAACAATCAGGTAAAATTATATAACAGCCTGTAAAGGAATGTAAAAGGGAACAAGAAACCAAAGAAAAGCTAAAGTTTTCTCTGCAAAAAATGAATCAGAAAAGATCAGACCCGTAGAAAAAGAGCAAGGTCTGTTAAGAGGTAGTCAATTAATATTTAACAAGTGATAATGGATTTTATTTCAAATATATATATATATATATATATATATATATATATATATATATATATATAAATTAATTTCAGTAGTAATAACAGTAATAACTTACTTTTATTTTTTAGAATAATATTAGCACCAACACGACTAACTAACTAACTAAATAACTGTTTTGTTTATTGTTCAGACGTCAGACTGTAACTATTTTCTTCACTAAAATTTACAGCCTTAAATAGCACTCTAAATAAAAATTCTTACGTTCACTTTCTGATTTTTTAAAAATTAAACAACTACTCTCTAATCGTTACATACATAGTTACACAACTAGGTGCACTTATAGGAAATGCAATTAACCTCGCCTACTTTAATATTACTTCAAGTATGTATTACGTTCACATTTTCATTTTTAAAAAATCAAACACCAGTTTTGCAATTCTTGTACACAAAATTAAGTAACTAGTTACGTTTAGATACAAACGACTAATATTCTTTTATTAAATCTAAAAATTGGTTTTTTTTTTATTCAACTGTCTAATTGCACTAGACTAAATAATTTATATTCATGTAGAAGATGTAACTTACGGTTACTTGAATAAACTCACTTTCAAACAAGAGCCAATTAAAGATCTGATACAAACATTTTTAATAAACAAAATATTTAATAATAGAATAAATATAAATTCTTTTAAAATAACAATTTGCTCTTTAGTTTGAATATTAGGAAAATAACGTTAATTTCTAAATATGTCCAATCCATAAAAAATTGTTTAATTATACAATATGAACCTTATATTAGCGGTTCGGTCATTAGTAGCCTGAAAATAACCTAATGGGCCATTATGTCAGTGGATTTATTTAAAAATAGTAATGAGTAATTGTATAATAAATTGTGAGGTCACTAGGAAAGAACCGCGTAGGGGAAAAATTTTAATTTATTACTAGTTAAACGTATAGAATTTGCAAGCGTATATAGTTACGAAATTATGATTATGTAAGTTGTTGTTGTTGGTTGAAATGTACTCTAATTGAATATACGAGTGAGATAGATAATATCGAGTACTATTTTATTAAATGTTGTAAGCGAATTAACAAAGAAAATGCTATGGGTGGATGTTAAAAGTTAGAATGTTAATTAAAAAAAATTACCTAGCTTTCTCTTAGATTATCTACTCTCGAACTGTAAGCAAAATAAAGTAAAGAACTAAGGAATCACTACATGTTTATGCTGAAATTTGAAAATAAATGAAGCATTGACATGGTAAGAGCGGACCGGGAAGAAGACGCATTTGCTGGCTTAAAATTTACGAAAGTGGTATAACACGATTACCACGGAACTGTTCCGCGCTGCAGTAAACAAAGTAAAGATAGCCGTGATGATCGCTAACATCCGGAACGGATAGGCACTTTAAGAAGAAGATGACAAAACATTTCAAATTACCAATATCTTAGGAATTAGTAAACCAGCTCTGGAGCCTGGTTTGGCCCAAACCAGGCTCCAGAGAATTCTATTTTAGGAATCTTTTAAACATCATACAGGAAGAACAGCATAAAGAAGAGATCTATATCACAGCGGACATACTCGTCAAAAATCCCTCCTTTGAAGAAACCCAAAAGGCCTTAAATAAGCTGAAAAATCACAAAGCACCGAGTACGGACGATATACCAGCAGAACTTCTGAAATATGGGGGGGATCAACTATTCACGCTGAGACTAGAAAAGGGATGGGAGTATAACAGACCCATACACAATCTTTTCATTGACTTTCGACAGGCATTTAATAGCGTAGAAAGAAGCCAAGTATGGAATGCAATGGCGGAGTTCTCAACACCAAAGAAACTCATTCGGATGACCAGTCTGTATGGAGGATGGAATATCTAAAATACGTGTAAATAATAAACTGTCTGGCAGCTTTGAAATCAACAGTGGACTCAAACAGGGTGATGCGTTATCTCCACTACTTTTAACCTTGTATTAGAGGAAGCCATGAAGTCGGCTAAAATAAAAACAGAATTGCTATCGGTTCAAGGTGCCAAACTGTTACTCGTATATGCAGATGACATAGATCTCATTGGAGACTCCATTCTATCGACGAAAGACATTTTCAACAAAGTGGAAGGAGCAACAAGTGAAGTAGGGCTGAAGATTAATGAAGACAAGACGAAATATATGTGTATAAATAGAACGACACTAAGAGACAGAATAGGACAAAATGTGACGGTCAACACATTCAATTTCGAAAGAGTACAACGTTTAAAATATCTGGGGGCCGTAATCACAGCTGACAACGATGTTACTGAAGAAATAAAAAACAGAATCCAATCTGCAAACCGCTGTTTATTCGCACTGGATAAACTCATAAAATCAAAAAATTTCACAAGAAGTTCAAAGAACAAAATCTATAAATCCATCGTCAGACCTGTAATAACATACGGATGCGAAACGTGGACCATGACCAAAGCAAACGAAGAAAAGCTCAGACGCTTTGAACGAAAAATACTTATAAAAATTTTCGGACCTCACCATGACATCACCACAAACCAGTATAGGATCAGAACCAATAACGAATTAAAAGCATTCTACAACGACGCAAATATTGTTCAAGAAATTAAATCACAGCGACTAAGATGGATAGGCCACGTGCACAGACTGCATAACGAGAGACTTGTAAAACTGGTATGGGAGGAGATTCCCACAGGAAAAAGACCACTCGGACGTCCCAGAATGCGATGGAGAGATAACATCCAAGCAGATCTCCGGAAAATGAACATTCCATTTGACCCTAGGTTGATGGAAGACCGAACAAATTGGAAAAAAGTTGTACAGTCAGCCAAGACCCACGCAGGGTTGTAGCGCTACGTGATGATGATGATGATATGCATCTACGGTTCACCCCTAAAAACACTATCTTTTTCGCTTTTTAAGTAGAGAAAAGATGTTTAAGAGAGCAATGGCAACAAAGAAAAAGATAAGATTAAGGAATAAAAATTAGAAGATAGAATTATGAATAGAAGAAAAGAGGACATATAATTGAGGAAATGAGAGCAACAAGTTAGACTAGAAAAATGGTAAGAAATGGATAAGTAATAAACATTAATATAACCAATTCGGTGCCAAAAGTCATAAAGATTTCATGTGAAGAAACATATAAAATGACCTTTCTTATTTCTTAGTATTTTAATAGAGTTGGTTCTCCATAAGAAGATTGCTATATAGAATTCTTTTCAGCTAGGTTTAGGTCAATTTCTTTCTAAAACTCCAAATTTTTGTTGCTCATGGTTACTTTTTTTCTCCTTCCTTATTATTTGCTATTTTTGTAGCTGATTTCCACATTCTTTATCATGTAGTGACTTTGTCTTCTTCATTAACAGTTGTCTGTCTGAGCTTTCCATTTCATTGCATTATGTTTGTGAATTCAAGGATTGTCCCAAGTTCTGTTCCATATTTTTCTTGTTTAGCTCCATTGTCGCATTATACATTTATTTAATATAAATCAATCATTATTGATTTCATGTATTTGCGTGTAGATATTCTGGACTTGTAAAAGTAATTTGAGTGTTCCCATATGGTAACTAAAAGATTGGTAATGAGTCCTGGAGGTATTGCAAGTTAGAGATGCTTATATTACACTAAAACTCTGAGAAAACCCCAGTGTTTTCTAGCCAAAGTTATTACAGTTTTTAGAAACATAACTCGATTCTACTACTAAATCTTATTCTCACATCCTTCAAGACTATATATTATTATAAAATAGAAAATGTCAAGACTACGGACACACTAAAACCTACTGCCGCAAAGTACGCAGATGCGTAAAATATCGCAACACCCTGTACATATTAATATTAAGTTTGTAAAATATAAACCAGATATAAGGGATATTAAGTTATTTTCCGAATTAGTGAATCATAATTGTGTAGAGACAAAGGGGACATTCACTGGTAAAATGACAATAGGGGTGGTTCGACCATTTATGCAGATAAGAATTTTATAAACAAAAAATTTGAATAAAATGTTTAGATGTCTTTGTAGTGTAAGGTGTATCACGAATGAATAGAAAATGTATAAAGCCATGGTTATAGAAATTGTATGGATACAATCCAAGAAGAAATCTTACAACATAAAGAGTGCATCGCAGTTTGTTTAAGGGAACATTGGAAATCCAATACCCAATTACAAAATCACAATTTTATGGGTTTCAAATTAGTTTCTCCTTTCTGTAGAGATGAAGGCGAACATAGGGGCACAACAATCTATTTAAAAGAAAGCTTATCATGAAGGATAAGAAAAGATATAAGTGCTAAGGCAAAAACATATGTCTTTGAATTTTCATGTGCAGAAATGTGTTTTTTAAATTGCAAAATTTTAATTATTTGTATATATCGTACTCCAAAGTGTTGTGTGCAGGAATTTTTAGATATTCTACAAAATGTTTTAATGTATATTTTAGGTGAGAGCTCTCTAGTT